CAGAGCCCCGATCAAGTAGCCAACTAGCTAAATCCCTCGAGGGTCTAACCAAAGAATACCCTACCCTTTTCGCAGGTGGACTTGGGTTATGCTCTACATTTAAAGCTGAAATTAATCTTAAGGCTGGCGCAAAGCCAAAGTTCTCCAAGCCGTACAACTTACCCTTCGCATTTCACGATGAAGTACTTACTGGCCGAACTGAATCGCTTAGTAAGTACTAACGTTTTACAGCCCATTAAGGCCAGCGAATGGGCAGCGCCCATTGTGGTGATACGGAAGCAGGGTGGAAAAATACGGGTGTGCGCTGATTTTAAGGTAGGCCTTAACTCCCAAATACAAGTGGATCGCTACCCCATCCCCCGGATAGAGGAACTATTGTACAAACTCCAAGGAGGTAAATATTTTACAAAGATAGACCTCAGCGACGCTTATCACCAAATCGAGCTATCTGAGAGCTCTAAAAAATGCATGGTGATCAACACAGCCTTTGGGTTATTCCAGTATCAAAGGATGCCGTTTGGAATTTCTAGCGCCCCTGGAATTTTCCAACGGTTTATGGAGCAACTGATAGCAGGCATCCCTGGTTGCGCAGTATATCTGGATGATGTGATCGTTACGGGAGAAAATGATGAAAATCATGTGGCAAACGTTCGCCGAATTTTTCAACGGCTAGAAGAAAATGGACTTCGATGTCGCCCAGAAAAATGCACCTTCGCTAGTCAGCAAATTGAATACGTCGGTCACATAATTGATGCTAACGGCATTAAACCCTCAACCAAACGCTTAGAGGCGATCCGAATGATGCCTCGGCCTAAAAACGTGCGGCAAGTAGAAGCCTTCATTGGGAAAATCAACTATTATAATAAGTTTATCCCGAATTTCTCCGCAAAGGCGTCCGCATTGAATATCTTGAGAAGGCAAGGGCAAAAGTTTGAATGGGGCGAGGCTCAGGACAATGCTTTTACAGCATTAAAAGATGATATAATAACAGCGACACAGCTCGTGCACCACAACGATAAGCTGCCCATAATTCTTGCAACGGACGCGTCAAAATACGGACTCGTAGCCGTAATATCGCATAGGTATCCAGATGGGTCGGAAAACCCAATTGCTTTCGCATCCAAAACGTTAAATAAGAGCCAAATAAACTACTCGCAAGTAGAAAAGGAAGCACTATCCATAGTATTTGGCGTCACGCGTTTTCACCAGTACTTATACGGTCGTAGGTTTGAACTAACTAGTGATCATCAACCGCTGGTCACCATATTTCATCCCCATAAAAAGCTACCGGTCGCAACGCTGCACAGGCTCCAAAGGTGGGCAATATTTCTCCAAGCTTACGACTACACTATAAGGTATAAAAATACGGCACAACACGCCAACGCAGATGCGCTCTCTCGACTTCCAATGGGCGAAGACTTAGAGTTCGATTATTGGGAAAATAAGATACTTAACGTTTATGAGGTCAATGAAACTGCACTTGACACTTTTCCCATTAGCTCATCGACGGTCTCAAAGGAGACAGAAAAAGATGTCCAACTTCAAGTCGTTAAAAGAATGATTCAAGATGGGTGGCCACATCACTTGCCGGAATCGCACGGTAATATTAAATCATATTGTGATCGTAGACTCTCGCTTTCTTTACAGAAGGGCGTGGTCTTGTTGCAAACAGAGCATAATCGAGTGGTTGTCCCAGCAACGTTGCAGCCAAAAGTCCTAGCTATGCTTCATGAGGGCCACTGGGGTCAAACTAGAATGAAGCAGATTAGCCGACGCTATGTATGGTTTCCTAAGATCGATGAAGCAATTGAGAGGTTGTGTAAGACCTGCGCGATCTGCGCAACCACTGCCGCTAGCCCAAAGCAGCACTATTCATCTTGGCCGCCAGCCGCAAAACCATGGGAAATAATTCACATAGACTTCGCTGGGCCGTTCTTCGGCAGCATGTGGCTTATTATAGTCGATTCGTTATCCAAATTTCCATACACCATCGAAATGTCTACAACGACTTCAACTGCAACCATTTCCGCACTGCAAAAAGTATTTGCCATCGAAGGACTGCCCGAAACCATAGTAAGTGACAACGGAACGCAATTCACATCGTGGGAATTTCAAAAATTCTGTGAACTCAATGCCATTACTCATCTCACTACGGCGCCTTTTCATCCAGCATCTAACGGGTTGGCGGAGAGGTTCGTAAGAATATTCAAAGAAGCATTTGGAAAGGAAATGAAAGGTACATCAAGTAAAGAAAAGGCCCTATGTAAATATCTAGCTACGTATCGCTCAACCCCAAATCCGATCACAGGGAAATCCCCTGCAGAGATACTACATGGCCGACAGCCTCGTACGCTACTTTCAGCACTTTTTCCAAACCAGCACGTACCTAACCACTCCAAATCGAAGTTTTGTATAGGACAAGAAGTCCAAGCCCGAAACTTTTCAGGGAAAAACAAATGGATTACAGCTAAAATAAACCAAGTATTGAGCCGCATGATGTACAACATAACAACACCAAGGGGCATAATTAGAAGACATCAAAACCAAATACGGAGAGCGGCAGCACCTCCCACCTGCGAGCCGGTAGACGATGAGATAGAGTGGGACGTAGATCCAACTAATATAACCACCCATAACAACGCACCGCAAACTAGGAACGATCATCCAACGACCCTTGCGCAGGACAGCGATAACAACTCCAACGTACAAACAGGCGTACCCACTGTCCGTCGATCGGAGAGACCGCGCAAGCAAACAGTGCGTTTCCAGATACCTAGCCAATAAATTAGGACAAGGGGAATGTTAGCAATCGGCATAAGGCAACCCTGCATTATCATTGGTGTGTTT